CTGCTCATTTCTCTGCCTGTCCTCTTGTGTCTGAGCTGGACGCACAGATCAGATCACCGTTTACCTCTCAGATCTTATGCGACGGGTCCGTCCCTCACGCTCGGCCCTGACCGGGTCCAAGGTTTCCTCTGGACCCACCTCACCGAGATTTTCCTGTCTGGACCGGCAGCTGTTAGATGATTTCAGGAATAAAGTGATTTTAGTTTGTCTGGTTTTGTTTCAGACACTGAGAACTAAACCAGACGAGAGAGCAGCAGGTGAATTAAATTATTTCCCATATATTTATTATAACTAATATAGAGGAACTGAGGCAGGATACCTTTGGGACGAAAAGCTAAGAATCAAAACTCAAATAATTTAATTAAGGACAGATTTATATTACTATATGTGACGTGGAGGTAAAGCCAGCATCTGCCTTGGTGCTGTTGCCATGGAAACCTCCATCTTTTCCCTGAACTGTCTGTTTTCACATCTTTTATCTGATGACTCTCCAGAAATCATCTGATTAAATAATGAGTCTATTCTGATGAAACTCTTCATCATATCAAAACTTTGTTTGAAAATTTTAAGTGTTGAACATATTTTAGTTAAAATATTGGTCTGATAATATTATAATTTTAAATGTCACGTTTTCTTTCACTGCAACTGAAAAATCATCATAATTAATCTGTATGATTTGTTTCATTTGGTGATAAAGTTTCTGAAATAAACAGACTTTGCAATAATAATATTCAGATTTTTGAATGAGTCGTTAGAATAATGAATCGTTTAGAAAACTACCGATCAACTTGCCATGTTTGGTTAGCGACCAGTTATTGATGAACATTAAATACCTGGTAGGTAAAAACCAATCAGTTAAGCATCTGGAAACCATTAGATCTTGATCACAAGTAGCTAGAAAGCTAATTATTAGCTAACGATTGGGCCATGCGGTGCTGCCCCCAGGTGGCGACTTGTGGTAATGAATATGGTTTTTCTAACAGGAATCAAGAAGTTAGAAACAACAAACATGGAAACAAATTCTCAGAACAAAATCCTACTTTTATTCTCCTGGATGCAAACGGTCGACTCATCTTGAACTTTTCTAATGTTTCAAACACATCATTAAAAAACTGTACAGTACAAAAACAAAGAAAAACATTAAAAAGGTTTAAAAACAGGCAGAGAAAAGTCTTAAAAACACAAGATTATAAAAGAGGAGAAAGAAATTCATGCAGCAACGTTAAAAACAGCCTGAGGAAGTTTGAATGCATAAAGATAAAAATATAAAAAATGAGAATAAAATGTTTTCAATGTTTTGAAAACTTTGTGAACCAAACTTCACAAAGTTAAACCTAAAAGATGAAAGTCTGAACATTTCCACTTGGTGAAAACTAAACGCTGCGAAGCAACGAGGAGAGAGGAGAGGAGGAGAGCGGTACGTCGTCCATCTGACCACAGCAACAACAGACAATATTTACAGCAACCTGCAACATTCAACCAAACGGATCAATTCTGATTCAGAGAAGCAACTGAAGCTGCAGACCTGTAGGGGGCGCTGTCAGAGAATTAACAGAAAATGTATTTAATCCGTCAGGGAAGAAATGAGAGAATTCATCTTCAAAGATCAAATTCAATCAAATGTGGCTTCAACGCCACAGAAAACCTCCAGATTCAAAGAGGTCAGATCAAAGTCTGGCAGGAAACTAAAGTCTGAGCTACATATTTATTTTGCTAACTAAATATTTAGCTCCAGGTTAAATATTTACTTTGAAAAATATTTAGTTTGAAAATTAAATGTAGGAACTAAATATTTAATATGCACAGTAGCTTGCCAATTAACGGAAGCAGAATACCAAAATAAAAGCTGGGTTTTGTCGACAAAAACATTCAGTTAGCAAAATAAATATTTAATTTATTAGTTTCTTTCCTCTTTTTATATTTTATTGTTCGTTCAAAATAAATATACATATTTGGCTCGCACTAAGACATTTAGTTTGGAGCTAAATGTTTTACTTTCTAACTAAATATTTAGTTTGGAAATCTGACATCAATATGAGAACAATATAGAGACAATATGACTAAAAATGTGTTACAGTGTAACTGTCCAGACAGCAGAACCGGACCCGGCCAGCGCCGCGGGTTTACATCAGAAAGGTTTCCAGGTTGGACTCTCTGCAGCTCGGAGCCGCTCGGCTCTCTGGATCCTGACAGAACCAGAATCTATCATTTCTGTAAAACAACCAACAGAAACACAACCTGAGGTTGGATCTTATATTTATTCCTTCTTCTACCTAAACTCTGTATCTTAGAAATTTACTGATATTTTCTAAATTATGTTGCATAACGAAGATTTCAGCACCATTAAACCAAAATAAATACGAAATATGATAAAGAATAAAATAATTAAACAAGGAAGTTTAAATTAATAATGCAGCAGAAAGGCACTTCCAAAGCTCCCATCTTTTTGTGTTTCGCTCCGTTTCCATGGCGCCTACACTCTGTGGCGGCCATCCTGCGCCGCCGCGGCGCTCGTTGCCATGGTGACGCTGATGTCAAAGCAGGTCTCCATCATGACGCGGGCCTTGCAGAGGCTGACGCAGGACTCCAGCTCCGCCGTGGCCCGAGCCAGAGCCTCCAGGTACTCCTGGGACTCCCGGTCCAGGTTCTGGTCGACGTCGACTGCAGAGGAGAAACGGCGGCGTTACGGAAACCGAAGGAAACCGGCGGTTAAAACCCTGAGAGGAGGCGCAGCGTGCCGACACGCGGAGCTGGAACACGTCTGCTGCTCCGGTTGTTGTGTCATGTAAACATGGAACCTTCGTGGAGTTTTCTGACCGATCGGAGCAGAACCGAACCTTTAAAGGCTGAAGTTATAAACGCCTCAACGCCACAGAAAACCTCCAGATTTAAAGAGATCAGAGGCATAAAAAGGTTCATTTTCAGGTTTCCTGACTGAAGGGAAACGAAACTAAACTCTTTCTGAAACCATCTGAACCACCAGACTCCCTGCAAAGTGATTCCAGCTGCTGTTTCACCGTTTAGACACCAAACATACATTAATATAAGTTAATGTGCATCAACAGCTGCAGTGGAAACCAGTGGGATTAGCACAGAGGCTAACATCCACAGTCTGCCTCATCAGGTCAGTAAATAATCAATAAATTCATAAATTCAGATCCAGTTCAATAATAACTAAAATATGTTTAAACAAAATGAACTCATGAATTTATCCAGTAAAATCAGAATTAAACTTTTAAATGTTAACTGGCTGCTGCTCCAGATCTGTGAAAACAGTTTGAATTAGTTATTGATTATTGATTGGAAGGTTTCTGTGAACTGAGGAGTTTCTGAAAGAAACTCGACTGACAGATAAACGGTAAAACATTCAGAAACTATAAAACTCCAGGCTCCGGTCGGCACATCCATGGGTTTGATTTATTTAAAACTAAAACAACTTAAATGAATAAATATTTTATATAAACCATAAAGAACCAAAGTTTCTCACAGTCTGAGCGCCACCTGCTGGGCTGCAGCATCAGGTGCAGCTTCGCCTCCTGCAGCTCCGCCTGCAGCTCCGCATGGCGGCGGCTCAGCTGCTGCAGCCGCTGCTGCCGCTGGAGCAGAACCTGAGGAGGAGACAGAACCCGGTCAGAACCAGAACCAGAACCCGGTCAGAACCAGAACCCAGTCAGAACCAGAACCTGGTCAGAACCAGAACCAGAACCCAGTCAGAACCAGAACCAGAACTTGGTCAGAACCAGAACCTGGGCAGAACCAGAACCCGGTCAGAACCGGAACCCAGTCAGAACCAGAACCTGGTCAGAACCAGAACCCGGTCAGAACCAGAACCCAGTCAGAACCCGGGTCAGGAAGAGTCATTAATGAAGCTCCAGGTTTTTCTTCAGAGGAGGAAACTGTTTCCATGACGACATGATTTCAGGAAAACCTGCTGTCTCTTAAAAACGTTAACCTTTAATTTCCTGAAAATCCACTGAAAACACTGTAAAAAATAACCAACTGAATTATTGTCAACATGAAAACTTTGACTTAAAAATCTGAAAAACTGAATGTTGAAAGTCTAAAAGTTTGACATAAAATCTGTAAGTTCTGTTCATAAGGATCCAATAATGTAGAAATATAAAAAAATCACAAGTTCAGGGATAAGAAACAAAGGTTTAGAGAAATTCAATTATGAAGAAAAAATGTAATTAAAATGTTTACATTGATTGATTGATTGATTGACTGATTGATTGATTGGATGATAATTATTATGACAGGAAACCATTTCTGTAAACATGATGTTTCATAAAAGACATGCAGGAGGAAACAGATGGACTTTAATATTTGACCTCTGACCTCACCTTCTCCACGTCCTGCAGCGGCGGCTGAGGAAACGGAGAGGAGACATTCAGAGCCATCATCATCATCATCATCATCATCATCATCATCGTCATCTGAAATAAACCAGAGCCTGACCTCTGACCCCGCCTCCTTCCTCTGCAGCCGCTCCACGTCGTCGATCTCGTACACCTTGATCTCAAACGGCTCCTTCAGGGCGCCGCCCAGCGCCGGCAGCTCCACCCACTGACCTCCGACCTTCCTGCCCAGGGCCGAGGCGTCCGGCAGCGGGGCGGGGATCAGCCGCCGCCGCAGGAAGCCGCCTGCAGGACGGACAGGTGGGGGGCGGAGTCAGAGCCGAGACGCATCAACACAAACCCACCCAACAGGAAGTGACTCATTATGAGATCATTTCTGATCATTTCTGATCATTTCTGATCATTTTGGTTCATAATTCATTTAGTTTACAAATATTTCAGTATTTTATTCGCCTGATTAAAAATAAAAATTAACAATGGAACGTTTTGCTACAGTTTAATTATGAGGAAATTTACACGACGTATGAATTTATGCTTATTAATCAATAATCATAAGATAAATTAAATCCGATTAAAATGTTTTGAACAGTAATTTTGTTCACAGATAATTTAAAGTTCTTCATTTATGGTTCCAGTTGTGAATGTTTTTATTTCTTTTATTTATTGTTTTGTTTGTTTTGAATATTTATAAAATCTTCCAGTTGCAGTCCTAACTGTCTCTTTTATTAGAAATGAATTGATCTTTGAGAACAAACTGATTCTTACATCATTATGTTAGTTGAAATGGACTCAAAGCAACAATATTATTGTTTATCACAATAATTAGTGGCAGGAGTTTCTGTACTGAATATGTTTATTGATCTGTGAAATATTTTCATCTTGAATGTAACTTTATAAACTCTAAGCAGAAAATCATCAGAAATAACAGAAATAATGACTAGAAACCATAAATCTGTGAGGAATTAATCTATTTAATGTTTCACTAAGTGATGAGTTACTGAAATAAATAAACTTCAGTAATATTCTCATTTATTCAGTGGGTTTAAATTCCAACATATTTATTTTATTTAACAGTTTTAACCTTTAAACGTTGAGTTTCACCAACAGATTATAAAATGTTTTGAAAAGTGAGCTGATCTCAGACTGATCCTCTGAAACATCAGCTGGTTTAAACGAGGCGCCATCATCATCATCACCATCATCATCATCATCATCACCATCATCATCATCATCATCCCGATGATTTACAACCAGCAGCTGTCGCTTCGTTATAAACAGGATCGATTAGTGAAGCAAACAGCGACGATAGTCAAACTGTGAGGAGCGTCAGACTGAGGAGTGTGTGTGTGTGTGTGTGTGTGTGTGTGTGTGTGTGTGTGTGCATGGATGAAGTGTGAGGTGATAATTGGAGCTGGACGTGTTCGCTGGGAATCCCTCATGAAACTTTCATGAAGGATTCTCGCCGCAGCGTTCTGCATGAATCTCAATCACCGCAGGAAGCTAGAAAAGGATCTGCGGCTCAGAGGAATCGACGCGCTCAGACATCAGACAGGCAGCAGCACAACGTTAAGCCGACCGCCTCATCATGATCCGACACCCGGAGGAATCCATAAAAATGTTAATGTGTCCATCTTTCCCCAGATGAGTTTATGGCTCTGTTAGTTTCTGACCCTGACTGGCCATCAGAACCCATTTTAATAATAATCGGCTCTTATAGGAACGTGGAACAGCTCCAGAGTTCACTTTGACATTTTTCCTTTATAGAAGAAAAAATTCAACTTTAGATTTAGGAAACGTCACTGAAGACATTTCAAAGTCATTATCTACTGAGTTTTTACAGTTTGCCAGATTTAAAAGACCTTAAAAGTCTTTCAGAAAAATAAATCACTTATATTTTTATTCCATTTTTCACTCTTAAGATCCACATATTATAGTTAAAATTATGAGGATCGGAAAGTGTGAACATGTAAAGGATGAAGGAGGAAACATTTACTTTCATTGTAATAAATAAAACTGGTAGAAAAGACAAAATTACTAAAACACAATGGACATTTTTCCACCTCACTGTTCCAGTAGATCATTTTTTTTGCTGGCTCATAATAGATTTTCCTGTAAATGGCTCCACCTGGTGGTTAGCAGATGTACTGCAAAGCCAGGAGTGAACGCACTGAGTCGATCAGCCGTTGGACTGATCACTATAATTTAGTTTCTGCTCACCGTTTCCTCTCTTCTTGGGCGACTTGGACACCCTGCCTCGGTTGGACGCTCCGCTCTCGCTCATGGAGTCGTGGGCTGACGAAGTGCTGCCGGTCGTCTCACTGTCTCGGATCATGCTCTCGTAGCCGCTGCTGCCCCCGCTGTGGTAAAACAAGGCGGTGCGGCCCATGGCGGGGGGAAGCTCCCCGCTGAGGATGCTGCTGTTGTCGCTGCCGTGTCCGCTGCTGTAGCGCTGCGCCCGGCGGGGGGCTGTGATCTTGCTGTAGGGTGAGGGCAGCAGCGGGCCGACGCCACTCGTCCCGCTGTCGGTACTTTCGCTTTCTCCAGCCCCTCTACTGAGCTGCTTCTCACCAGCAGCGAGCTCGCTGACCCGGCTGTTAGCTGCCCTGCTGATGACCTGCTTGGTGCCCATGATGGTGCCTCTTCCCGTCTTAAGTCCGGTTCCGGCTCTGGCAGGAGGCTTGCCGGTTGGGGGTAGGCTGGCATTGGGCCCAGGAGGGGAACTCAGGCTTTTAGAGCTGCTGGTTGACGATGGTCGAACCTTCAGTCCAGCAGAACCAGCAACACGGGAGTTACCGTTGCTTCGGACCTGCGATAGTTTGCTGGCTGTTGAAAGGAAAGTAGAAGAGGCTTGGGAGGAACAGGGGATGTTTAACGGCGGAAGGCCAAGTCTTGGTGCAGATCTGCTGGATTTGCAGCTACTCCCTGCAGCAGCACCATTAGCATCCCTGAACGCCTCCGGTTTCAGCAGAGTTGAGGTTGGACTGTCTCCCCTCTCCAGAGATCTCAAGCTGCCATAGAACCTGTGAGAATCTGCTTTGGCCCCTCGTGTCTTCAGACTGGAAGACGTTCTGGCAGAACCATGGTCGATTTTCAAACTAGACGTCTTGTGACTGAATGAATCCGCTCGGTGCCTGAAGGTGAACTCCTCCTCTGAGGTTAAGCTTTTAGGGAAAGCAAACCTTCCACTGTCACTGCTCGGTTTTAAGGCACTTGGAAACTTTGTCTTCTGTTCTTGGCTGGACTGTCTGATAAGTGGCGTAGGAGGGGAGATGTTTCCAGAGCCAGACTTGGAGATCATGCTACTTTTCTGCCCATTTGACTTCTTCCCCAGTGATGAAAACCTTAATGTCCCCGTCACGCCGGCAGCTTCTTGACCCCATTTCGTTTCAGGGTTCTGTGAAGTGGAAACAGTTCCCAGAGTTGTTGCACCTCGTGTGAGCCGTGGCAGCTTGATGAGAGTATCTCCTCTTCTGCTGATGGGCTTCTCGCAGCCATCAACAACTCTCTGAGCTGTGGATGATATTTGTGTCTTCGGAGATCGAGGAACACTGTTGCTGTTTCCTCCAGACCTCTTGGGGGAGATGCTGGCTGTGCCACTTCTCATTGGCTTGCCCGCAGAGAGAAGCTCAACCTCTCTTGGATCAACGAAGGTGCTTCCCTGAAACAACAGGTTCTCTTGTGTGCTGTTGCCTACGGCTCCAGAAGAGGTAGGCTTGGTTTTCCTGGGAAGACTGGAGTGGTGGGTGTGGTGGGGAGAAGACGTTGGAGTGCTTAAGGCTCTCACCTTAGAGGATCCTTTCGGTGTGGCTTTGGTGGAATCAGGGAAAGCAGAGGCCTTGGTAAATGATGGTTTGTTGGGTGTGGCGGGATCACTGTCCAGCTCTGAGAAACAAATGCCACTGTCATTCAGCGAACTCTTCAAGCCATGCTGCAGAAATGGCTGTCGATGGTATATACTTGGTGAGATCAGGGTGGACGCGCTCTCTGCTGCTGTCCTCTCATCTCTCATGAAAAACCTGTTTGCTGAAGTACTGTCTTCACTTTCAGCGGGTCTTAATCCTGCAGACAAATGGCAGCCTGATCCTGTAACTCCATGCTGGGTTGTGTAAGCGTCATACTCATCATTGATGCTGCTGATGATGCTGACTGGACGGGAACCTGCAGCGAAGGCCTGCAGCGAACACTCTGGGTTGAAGCTGAGGAGGTTGGCGGGGCGGCCATTATCCGGGACGAGGCCGATAGGAAGCTCCTCTATGACGGTGAACACCAGCTCATCCTCCCCGTTCAGCTCCACAGGCTGCTGGAGCGTGATGGTGGTCCTGAGGAAGTCTCTGTCCAGGCATCTTCCTAACAAAGCCGCTCGAAGGCCGCTGACTTCCATGGGGTAACCTGTGGAGTGGTGGGACGTTTCCCTGTCTGGTAACTCCAAAGGTTGGCTTTGTCTTGGTGCTTGGTAGCTCATACCCACTGGGGGAGTCCTGCTGAGAGCTTCTCCTGAGTCAGATGCTGCTATGGGCCTCTGGGGTAACGACTGAGGAGGTGATGGTCTGGTTGCAGCTCCTCTAACCTTCTCTCTTACCACCGGTTCTGGACCTGATGAACAAGGCTCACTGGACTGTACCGAACAAGGCTGAATGAGGGAGCCGGAGAGTTTTTCTCCATCAGCACTGGTCCTTTTGGAGGATTCCACTGGGCTTCCAGCCGAAGGGAGTCTGGAGTCTGGTCCGGTTAGGTTTAGAGAGGAGTTCTCATCAGATTCTGGTCCAGCTTGATTCTTCATTGGTTGTGTTGCTCTGCTCTCTGTGCTTAACGCGTTTGGAGCTTCACTGCCATCGATGCAATCAAGCCTCTCCTGCAGCTCTGCGAATGTGTTGCACTTAAAGTGATCTCCGTCTGAACGGGGAGAGTCTTTGGTTCGCTTCTTGTTCAGGGAGGGAATGATGGGCACAAAGGAAGGCGGGCCCTCATTGTCGCTCAGCTCTCGGTCAGATATTGCCGTTCCACCGGGTCCGACGTAAATAACGGTGTCGCAGGACTGTTCACTGCTGGAGGAATAGTCAGGATCGCTGGAGAGCAGCAGCGGTATGTCAGGATCCAGAGCCACGATCCGGGGGTAGAAAGGCTGAACATGAGGAGGCCGATGGGATGGACCTTCCTCACAGGAGCTGTCGCCTCCGGAAGAGCTGGAGGCGTACTGGAGACAACAAGACAGTTAGCACAAGAATGACAGATGCAGGCAGAGGAAAGGCTGTAGCCGCTCACCCTCCCACAGCCCAGCTAAGCTAGCGTTAGCTTAATCACACTTTGGTTACCTAGCAACAACTTGTTCAGTAACATGCGCAGCAGCAGTTTCATGTTGCCCAACATACTGGGGCGTACTTTAGTCCCTAGAAATCGGTGTGTACTCGACTCAAAACTACGTCACAAAGTTTTACAGCCGCAGACCTGAACTCAGTAAAGGTCTGACAGGAAACAGCTGGGCAGGAAACAGCTGGGCAGGAAACAGCTGGGCAGGAAACAGCTGGGCAGGAAACAGCTGGGCAGGAAACAGCTGGGCAGGAAACAGCGTTCACATCCAACTGGTAATGCTGAAAGTCGGCCCAATCTATTACAAGATGCACAGCATGACTGCCACACCCAGCTGACTCACCCAGCTGCTGGCGTGATGTCAGAAAGTGGGAAATGAAGGAGTTTGTCACAACTAATGCAGATATTTGGTACATAAAAGCTCAACCACCTGGCCGGTTCACAGGGTAACACAGTTCACCTGAGCAGTTTCAAGTTTTACCTTTGGGCCTCATAACTGCTTAAAAATCAAAAAAATATTGGTGTGAAGTGATTTCAAATAAAACAAAAATGTCATGTCATTAGTTTGGCAGTATTTTGGATAATTAAAACTAAAACCGAATCAATAATGATCAATATTGACTGATAGGAAACGGCGTTATTGTGAAACACGGTAATATCTCACAGCTGAGTTATTCTGCTGGGAAAAGGACAATTTGAACTTTGATGTTTTTCCACAGAGGAACTACAAACAGAAGTCGTTTCTCATTGCTTATTTAGAAGACCAATAAATAATCAATATTGAATGAGGAGAAAGCACAAAGACATTGTGTTAAATAACACAATGGAGAATAAACTCCTTGTTATCAGGTTCTGCCCTCAGATCCTTCAGAGAAGCTGTGAAACGAGGTGAAGTAACAGACGAAGTACTTTGGATCTCTTCTTCCTCGTGCGGTGGATGCGGGACGCCAGCTGCACCGTGGTCAGCGTCTCCATGAAGTTCGCCGGTGAGTCGGAGATGTGGGCGATCATGGTGGTTCGACAGTTGATGTTACCCAGAGACTCGCTGAGCAGCATGGTGAGCTTGCTGTCTCTGAATAATAGATCATAAAAAACCTCGTTAGACCAGAAGAACGAGGAAGAGACGCCAGAGAAACCCAGGGGACCGTTCGTTACGCCGCGCTGAAGTTGGACTCAGACGGGCAGAGAGAGGAATGAGCAGGAATGTCTCATCTCACATTCATGAAGCGCACTTTGAACTGCGCGCCACGTCTTCTACCAGACGCAGAATGAAACGCTGCCTTTGAAGACCTGGAGGAGGCTGCTGAGGGAAACTGGATTTACATACTGCAGCAAAACTGGAAATATCAGTTTGGGCTTTTATCTGCATCGAGTCTTATGGCTTATTTCATGCAAATCAGGGCCTGTCAGCTGCAGACATACGATACTGAAAAGAATATGACCTAATTATTATTTTATTTTATACCAAACATGCAGATGGACAGACGAATGGAAAATCCTTAAATCAATTTCAAGACTTTTCCAGAAAGAAAAGTCTGGTGAGATATTGACTGCCTGTAAATACTCTTAATGACCACACTTCAGAAACAAGGAACTGTCCCTTTAATTGGCAGCGGAGACCACAGGTCAGTTTTTACTTTCATCATTCGGTAAACTTCTTACCACAACCTGAAGTTCAATGACATGAAATGGAAAATAACCTGATGAAATCCTCCATGTTGAATCTAAACAGTAAAAAAGATGGAGCCCGACTCCTCCGTCCCCTGAGGGACATTCTGTCCATCTCTGTCCTGAGACGCTCGGTGCTTCTGGTACCTGTAGGGGACGTGCTTGGCCCCGTTGGACAGCGCCAGGATGACATTGCCCAGAGCGGACAGGGACAGGCACTGCGCCGCGCCGCCCTCCCTGGTCCGGCTGATGTCCGTCTCACAGCTGCCCAGGTCCAGCAGGTGGAGACGACTCCGGCCCGACACTGAGGGACACCGGGACAGAAAACATTCACAGGAAGCTCTGATGCAAAATTAAACTATAGTGATTAATGCCTGCTGGAATGGACACGAGAAAGGAAAATATTTGTGCTAATTTTAGCCCAGAAGTCGCAAAACCAGATCAACCCAAAGGTCCAGAATCTATCTGCAAGTCCAACAAGTCCCCATGTCCAGAACCAGAACCAGGAACCATCACAGACAAACAGAACATTTTATGGATGCATAAAGCTGCGGAGCTCCTTCAGTGACAAACTGCTGCATCCAAGGTGGACAAACAAGCGTCATAGCAGATCCTTCCTCTCAGCGGTTAAGACTGAGAGTCGGGACTCAGTTCAATTATTTAATCAATTTAACTGCAGGGACAAAATAAGCAACATTTTCAATCCAAAAACCATTTTGCTGCCAAGTTATTATTGTTGTTGTTGTGCACCAGATTTACGGACATCCCAGAAACACGCAGATATAAAGGTTCCACTCTGAAGTTCTGTATGTAAAAAAATTGAGTTGAATGTTTAACATATTTAAATTTATGTCATTAATTCATCAAAATTAACATATTATAATCTAAAACTATCAACGCTCCTAAAAACTCAGTAAGTGTTTCCATTCCTGTGGTATTTGCAGCTTTTTGCCTATTTTAATTATTTTAAATGACATTTCTGCTGGTTTTTGAATCGCTGAATCTGTTATTTTATTTTGTATATGAATACGTTGTTAACTGCACTTTACTGCTATGATCTTCTGAGCAGGATGTTATTTTTAATCCTGTTTTATGTCCCGTACAATAAAAGTTTCTTCCTCAGATCCAGATTTAACGGTTTCAGATAAATGCGTCTCCAGTTCAGCTCCTGGTTGTTTCATGTCTCTAATCAGCCCTGATAAATATTCAGCAGCATTTTAACCACCTGCTTATTCCAGTAATTCAGAGTAATGAGGTTGTGAAAGTTCAACTGTCCGCATCAGCAGGATTTAGAAACTGCTGAGAGCAGCTGAGCGCTCCCCTTTCTGCCCGCCGCCCCATAAACACGGCGGGACGCGAGTCGCCGGGCCTCATTAGGCGGACAGTAAAACACCGGTAGCCGTGGAAACGTCTCTGCTGTGGCAGGTGGACAGTCTGTAATTGATCCTGTTCAAATCGGCTCCAGGTGAAGCTAATTAGCAGCTACATGTTAGCAACAGGAAGAGGAGAATTTATTTCTGCCTCAGAGTCTCTGAGCTGCTTTTTCACTCCAACAAGCAAAAAGATCCGACTTCATTTCCACTTCAGAGGTTTAAATTACTGATTATTAAACATGCTAAAGGGACATTCTGTGGTTTTATTCTGTGTTTCTGTCTTTACTTTGTGCAGAAGGAAATAATGGAGGAAAACCTGGCAGCATTTCAGTAAAAGACAAGTTTTCTCTCAACATCAAACAGACAAGCTGAATATTTTATTCATGCAACCTTTATGAGTTTTGGTATAAACAAAATGTTTGCATTAATAAAAATATGATGATGAAGATCCCAGGAAGGAGATTCATAATCACTGCAGCTGTGAAACTCCTTAATCAGAACTTTGTCTTTAAATGAGCTGCTTCAATACATTTTATTTTGGTGTTCTTTGCAGTGGAATCACTTTTTTAGCAATATAAGCTTTAATGGTTTCTTCCACAATGAAGAGGCCACCATTCAAAAAGCAGAAGTTACATTTACAGTTTGGAACTGTGAGGTACGGAGGTGGCAGCATCATGCTGTGGGGTGGTGAACCTCATGGCTGAGGAGAAAAATTATCTCAATATGTTTCAAAAAGATGCTAATTGAAATCTCCTCGTTGTTTTTCGTAATTTCTCCTGGCGTTTTGTCGGCCGCTGCCCTCTGACCTGTTGCCTTGTTGCTCTTGTCCGCCCTCTCCTGGTAGAGGTGAAGCGTGAACAGGAAGTGGGAGTTCCTCCGGGCGTCCTGGTCGTCCGGCGTCCGGCTGCTCCTCCTCTCCGCCAGAGCAGCGTCCAGGAAGTAGGCGGCGCGCTCGGCGCTGGTCGCCCGCAGCTCCGTCTGGTTCTGCAGCTGATCGGACAAAACAGGAAACAAATTTAATTATTTCTGCAATTAGAAGAGAAGTTTCTTAAAAACGTAAAACATGAACCATCACAATAAAGAACAATATCATCAGGAAGGAGCTGCAGGAGGTTCTTCAGAAACAGGTTTCCGGTTAAACCTTCTTCGTTTTGCTCTGATTCCCGTATTTAAAGAACTCCTGACTTTAACTGAACTCTGGTTGAAACGAAGACGTCTGAATCTCTGCGGCTCAAAGCGAAGCCGCTCCTTCGCCTCGCAGAGATAAAAGGCCAAATGAGACAGAATGGGGTTTGATAAAATAAGGACGGAGCGCAGCACAGAAAAGTGTGCAGTGACAGAAAAAGAAAATTAAAGAGAGAGCAGATAAAAAGAGTCAGACTGACGGAGCCCAGGGAGATAAAAGAGAGGAAGATCCAAACTAATTGGACGGTTTTGGAGAGCGACGAAGTCCCAGGAGGTGAAGAGGAGGTCAGGGGGACGTGTGAGAAGAAGAGAGGAAGCTTAAAGGACGACTGCACACAAAACATCCAAGAGCTCAGAATCATGTGAAACGGGTTTGTTACTTTGCTTCACATGATTTTCAAAGTTTGTTTGATTCATCCTGATATCGTATCGGGTCAATATCGGTATCAGTCAATAATCAAAGCTGTGGTATCGTATCGTATCGGGTCAATAATCAAAGCTGTGGTATCGTATCGTATCGGGTCAATAATCAAAGCTGTGGTATCGTATCAGGAGGGAAACATCATGTTGTTCACATGATGCTGCGTTGTGTTACACAGCATCAGTTCACATTTTGTAATGAAGGTTGTTCTTCATCACTAGTTACTTTATAACTCACTAAAATAATTATCCTTCTAGGACTAGTTTAGATTTTGAGTAAAACCTTTTAATGAAATAAATCGTCTTCCTTTGTAGAAAGTGGATGCTGTCGTATTGTTTTTCTGCGTACCTGGGAGCCGCAGACAGGATCCTCCCGCAGTGACACGGCCGGCCCCGGGGCCTCCGGTTGGCCCCCCGCCGAGGCAGAGAGTTCAGCCAGCAGGTCGCACAGCGCCTCCTCCTGGCCGGAGATCTCCACCGCCGACACTCTGACGGAGAAACGAGCCCCGCTTCTCTCCCTGCGCTCCTCGATCAGCTTGAAGAGCCAGGAGATGGCGGTGGGCGCCACGCCCAGGCTCTGGGTGGAGCAGTCCCGGCCAATCATGGTGTACGTCTTCCCTGGGGGCGGAGCCAGTGCACACCTGGAGTTTAACGGGGATGTGTGTGTGTGTGTGTGTGTGTGTGTGTGTGTGTGTGTGTGTGTGTGTGTGTGTGTGTGTGTGTGTGTGTGTGTGTGTGTGTGTGTGTGAAGGAAAAGGAGCGGTTGTTACCCAGGTTGGCGTGTCCGTAGCAGAAGATGCAGCCGTCGGCGCCGTTCACCACCGACTGAATGACCTCTGACACGGTTCCCGAACAAACCTCAGCCTGTCAGGAGCCAGAGGTCAGACCAGGTCATGATGTTATGACATGCAGCAGCGTTTGAACTGAGCAAAAAAGTTTTAAAGTGAAGAACGTCCCGAGTCATTTAAAGGAGCAGAATTATGTAAAATCTGCTTGTTTGATCTTCCATCATGTTTTCAGAAACAAACCTGGAGTTTGACTTTGATTCCTTAATATTTGATAAATTCTTTAACTTCCATGGCAACCATTCAGAGGCAAAACGCCTGGGTGGACTTAGCCCCGCCTCCAAGGCGCAGCTCCTCCCCCTTTCAGCTCCTTCAGACTAGCCAGCAGCAATTAGCAACCAGCTGTTGGAACTGCTGAGCTCATTTTATGAGCTGCTGCTCAGAACACTGCTGGTAAAACCACTAAAGGGTTAACAGAGGAGCCATGTTGGGATGACTTCCTGGAGGCGGAGTTTCGGAAAGAGCAGGAGCTTTAAGGCCCAATTCCAAGGGATTAAATCAGGAAGTATAATTTCTGTTAAGTGATATTTGATATGTATAGTCAGTTGAAGGTCCCATTTACCTGATTGTGCTGTAAAATGGGAACATTTGCCTGGGAAACACATAAAACTGCCCCTTTAACGTCAGTGTGAGGGGAACCAAAGACTTTTAGGGGAACATTTTTTAGATATTTCACTGGCAGGAAGTGAGGATATTAGCTGCTTCAAACCTGAATATAATTTAGGATGTTAACTGAAGGATACATGCCAACAACTCTTCAGATGTGACTTTCCAGATGACCAAAGTCTGTTTCATTTGTTCAGGTTGGAGCTCAGTGAATCAGTTCATTTCACTCTGAGAAAAGAACTGGATGTTAAATGTCAACAGTAAAGAAACTTAATGCCAACATTCGACTCCAAAAACTTTAAGATGCTTAATTAAAAGCTGTTAATTTTACGGTTGACATTTAAAATAAATTTCTGGGCCACAGGGAGGCTTTGATATGTTTTAGCTTCATAAAGCATAAAACATTTTGTGGATCAGAACAGATGAACTGGTTGGGTTTCACTTTAGCTGAGGTCACATGTGGTTCATGTCACGATGTGAAGCAACATTTCTGTTTTTATGCTTCTGTTATATACAATGAGGAGGAAAGGTGAAAAAGTCACAGCCTGAGTTTATCTGACAGCTTCGCTCTGCTGCTGCACATCAGACACAAACTGCAGCTCTGATCCATCTGCTGCTGCCGCCTCTCTGGGGATGAGGAGCGGCGTGGCGACACCTCCTGATGAAGAGCTCAAACTCCGGCTGCGTGATCTGAATCTACATCTGCAGCTGAAACCTGTTCATCCTCACACATCCAGACGGTGATGGAGAGCTTCAGGAGCTTCTCCCACCTGAGAGGCGTCCTGCGTGAAGATGGCGTCGAAGCTGAAGGTCTTTGGTGCCGCGGCGATGGATCGTCTCTGAGAGGACGCAGAGTTCCCGCCGTTCGGAGTCTCAATCAGCGTCAGCTGCTTTTTTCTGCCGTCCACCTTCAGGAAGGACATGGACTCCGAGTCGCTGCTGTTAGCAGAGCTGATGCGGACCATGACCCGAACCTGAGGACGGACAGGAAGTCCACATCAGAGACCGGAGCAGAGCAACCACTTCCTGTCTGACAAACTACAATCAGTACAGTGGAGGGAACTGCTAGCTAAAAAGCTAGCTGCGCTAACACTAAAGGACTAAACATGAACATTAGCTCTGCTAATGCTAAAGTGCTACACCAATTAGCTAAAGCGCTAACTTCTACTATCTTGATGGCCACCAGATGTTAAAGATAAAACATGTACTGTGACGCACTAAACTGCTCTATATTATTAAAATCATGAAGATGAAGCTAAATGCTAAAGCCGTTCAGATTATCTCTGTCCTTTAATAACTAAAACCTTCAAGCTCCAATTTCGTTTTGACATTATAATCCACCTGTCCCATAGTTACTGTTTTTATGTTTCTGTCTTTTTCTGTGCAGTCAGTTTTATTTTCTTCCTTTAAGTTTCTTGTTTTAAACAAAGTTTTTAGCGGGAAAAAATAGAACAAGAGAGGAAATGGAGCTGCTGTGTAACCAGACTTCAAAATAAGAGCATGAACATAAACAACTGACTACTTGAGGAATTCTTAATTGAGAATAAAAACTTTCACACACGTTTAGTTTTATTCAACTGAGTTTAAGAAAACAGGAGAGTAAAATAATGCTTCAGAATTTAGATTAGAGGGAGGAAAGTTAGCAGAAATATTCTGCTATTAGTGCTAATGCTAACATTGCTAAACCCACTAAATTTATTATTGCAAAATAAATCTGAAGCAAATCTTGGTTGTCGGCCTGCAGCTTCGTTTCTGGGATTAAATCTGTTTTTACCAACTGGAGCCGCAGACCAAACTAATCCCATCGACTGAAACGTGACTGAGCTGCAGCTCCCTGTCTGACCGTCGGGTCGGGTCTCTGCTGGGGTTCATCAGCCGTCGCAGAGCTGCTGAGTCAGCAGGTCAAATTCAGACCAAAACCGATCAGAATCAAAGAGTTGCCACGGCGACCGGGCGGCGCCGCTGCAGACAGGAAGCAGCTGCTGCCTTGGTTTTCATGTCAAACACGTTCAGAACGCAAAGCAGCTGCTGGAAGAACCAGAAACGGCCTTGATCCAGAGGATGCTGCCGTTACCACGGCAACCACAGGTGAGGGGAACCGAGGCAACGTGAAGGACGGCGAACGCAGGCTGATGGTTCTGAGACGCAGCGTGTCGCAATTAATGAACTCGTTAAGGATCGAGTGATGAAGAGGAGCTTAACGAGAGAGGAGAGGAAGGTCAAAGGTCACGACAAGCTGCTGGTCAAAAAGGTCATTAAACCTTCAGGAGATCATAAAAAGATTTAACAAGTTTTACCAGGAACCAGGAAAACAAGAAGGAAACAGGAAGGAGAAAAAGATGAATGAAGGAGAAGCGGAGCGTCGAGTCGATCGACGGTTTATGAGCCTCAGAGGAACGACTGCTGTAAACAAACGGCTTCAGTTTATGAGCAACAGCTCCAATAAACGAGGAAGAGGAGGAGGAGGAAGAGCAGCGGTTCTGCTGCTGAGTTGAATCTGTAGAAAAACCCAAACTGAGGATTTGACTGGATTTGATCAGAAATGTTTCCATTAAGAACAAACTGAGGTTGTGGGTTTGATTCCCTCATCAGAACCCGGATCAGAACCCGGACGGCCTCCTACCTTCCCCATGCCGGGCGTGTCCTTGACCTTTGACCCGGCCCGTAGGAGGCATGGCGGGACGGCGGGCGGCGACAGCTGCAGGGCCCCGCTGAAGCCTCCGGTGAACAGCGGCGGGCCCGGCGCCACCGGACCCGGCTGGGACTTCCTCCTGCGGGACAAACTGAGCTTCTGAGCCGCCCTGCAGGGAGACAGAACCGAGACAGAGCCGAGACCGGTTCTGGGTCAGAACCGGATCAGAAAGATCAAACATTTATATAAACAAAGATATGAACGTTAGAGTCCAGATGGTTCTGACCCGACCCATCAGAACCAACCAGTTCTGAGGAACAATCAGAACTTTTAAACACCAGAACTGGAGTTGGAACCAAAACCAGGGCCAGAACCAGAACCAGAACCCAGGCCAAGACCAGAACCTCTGATTGACCCCAGAACTTCAGTAACAGAGGAAAACCCTGAACCGGGTTTCTGATCCACTCTGGTTCTTCAGCTCCAGAGAAACAAGAGGGTTGGATTACCGGGCTGAGGAAGAGGAGGAGGAGGAAGAGCGTCCCTGCACTCCTCCTCTTCATCCCTCCATCCAGTCCAATCAGAAAACGGAGCATGTAATCGTAGCGCCATGAAGGACGGCCTGCAGGGATTCACCACCGTGTGTGTTCTCACACACAGGGCACAGAGCCGGGTGTGTGTGTGTGTGTGTGTGTGTGTGTGTGTGTGTGTGTGTGTGTGACATTCATGCTTCATCGCTGGGATCTGCCGCCAAATGTTAACAAGAGACAAAATTCGTCCAGGAATAATCCGATTCTGAGGCGACACGATTTTCTGCTTCTGCGACTCTGAATGAAAAAATCACAAAGTTTTCTGCAGATTTTTCACCGAACAAAAACCAGAACGAAAGAAAAGCAGCAGCAAGAAAAGTTAGAGAGAGAGAAGAAGCAGCTTCAGACATCATGACTCGGCTGAACGGAGCAGATCTGGATCAGCAGTGTGAATGTTAACGACCCAACAGAACCAGCAGAACCTTTCCTGCTCCAGATTATCGGTTCTGAACAGAAAGACTCGACATCCTGAGGACTAAATGAGAATAAATCACAAAACAAGCTGAGGACAGAAATGTGACGTTATGAAAGACAAGAAGTCGACTGATCGGTCGGTGATTTGTCCAAGCATATTAATGGAAAGTTGAGTGGAAGGAAAAAGTGTGCTAAAACGAGGACATGGGATTCAAACCTCTTCTGAACCAGAATCGACACCTGAATCATCTAAACCTGCGTTCACACTGCAGCCTGAAGTGACAAGTCAGATTTTTTATCAAATTTGATTTTTGCTGGATGTTCGCTCTTCCAGATAAACGCATCCTGACCGTGTCTGCATGCTCAGTAGAGGGCGCAATAGCGTCAGCCTTCTCAGTGTTGGTGGAAGTGAACATGATGCTAACGGTTAGCATAGCTTACACATTGGAAGTTGTTGCCCGACCAGAACCAGCATATTAACAACTGAACCCTCATAATCCGTCATGGATGTTTTTCTCAGAGACCTTCAGGTCGGATCAACGACCTGGACGTTTGGTCACATTAGAATCGGATACTCAAGTGGCCGGAGTCGCATCTGGATAGAATCCGACCAGAATCCGACCCGTGGTGTTCAGATCGGATTCGGGTCAAACATCAGAACTGGGTCACTTCGGACGCAGCCTTACAGTCCCTCTGCTGATGAGCTTCAGGCTGGATTCGTTTCCAGAACCATTTCACTGACCGCTGTACCGCGGGTTCTACAGGACGACCAGAGGCACCAGAACCAACGAAGAAGAGCTGCAGGTCGGGTTAAAGCAGCAGCAGAACCAAAGAAACGGCTGGAATGAATCCCAACAGAACCTGTGATGAGGGAGGCAGAAACATCACCATGAGAGGAAAACCTTTCCTGTCCTACCATCACAAACAGAAACAGGCAGTCTGTTAAACTCTACTTGGACTTTGACTGGACCAAAGAGCTGAGCCGTCAGGTCCAGATGGTCCAGGTTTGTCCTGATTCTCTTCATCACTCCACCGTCTCTCTGAGGTTCTGAACAGGTTCAACTCCTGGAAATCATCACTGATCTCATCCAGAAATGAGAAAACGCTCCTGAGTTCAGATCAGAACACAAACGTTTTAAACCCGATCTCTACTCACAGGTCCGGTCGACTCCACTCCATTATCTCCTCACAGCTTTTTGCCTCGAACGTCCGAACCGGTTTTCATCCTGATGCATCATGGAAATGCAGATTCACTCCGAGTGAGAAGAAAATCCAAACCAACAGAGGAAAAGTCGAAACCACTGAGCTCCGTTTACTGGTCAAACTGGACCAAGAGAAAATCCCAACAAGTCTTCATGTTCCATAAACCTGCATCCAGAGGTTCAAGCCCATGTTTGATTATTCCCAGGAACATTTCATCGTTTTTCCATGACACATCCAGATTCCTTCATTTATTCAAACATTTGCTGAGCATCAAATCTGGAACTTTCTGCTCCAGAGAATCCGTCAGTTTCACTGCGAACATGTCAAACCTGGATCCTGAGCTTCATCAGGGTTTGGTGAAAAGTTTCTGTCCAGCTGGAGGCCTGGAGACGTCCGTCCCTCCGGAGACAGGAAAACGTCCAGCTGAACTCCTGCAGCCGGAGCAGAGTCGATCCGATGCTCCGTCTTTTCCTCCCAGACATGAAACTGGATTCATCAATCAGCGTCTTCAGAAAGTTTCTCTTTGGAAAAAACCATCAGATCCCATCCAAGTCCTTAGATTTGTGGTTTTTCCCAGTCAAACTGGTTCCTCCCATTAGTTCATCATTTCCTCCCATTCAAGCAGAAAAAGTGGGAATTTTTCCAAAGTGTTCAGGAAAATCAGCAAAGACAGAAACTAGTCCAGGAAGATTCCAACTTCATCCGAGTCGTTTCTGCTCAGGGACAGGGAGCGGTCCTCCTGACTGTCTGTCCTCCTGTCTGTCTGTCCTCCTGTCTGTCCGTCCTCCTGTCTGTCCTCCTGTCTGTCTGTCCTCCTGTCTGTCCTCCTGTCTGTCCTCCTGTCTGTCTGTCTGTCCTCCTGTCTGTCCGTCCTCCTGTCTGTCTGTCCTCCTGTCTGTCCGTCCTCCTGTCTGTCTGTCCTCCTGTCTGTCTGTCCTCCTGTCCTCCTGTCTCATCCCGGTCTGCCGCCGGGCGGATCAAAGGAACTTTTAGGGAGCAGCTGTGGACGTTTCCCCTCCGTCCTCCTCCACCTGTAAACCCTTCGTCTTCATCCGCTCCTCTAGTCGACCATTCTCTCCATCCAACTCCTCTCTGTCTCTTCACCTCTTCTTTCTTTCTCTGCTCATCCCTCGGTTTCTCGTCTCCATCCTCTCCTCATTCCCTGGTTTTTCTCCGTTTCCTCCTCCTGCTGTCTCTCCTCTCCTCTCCTGTAGCTCCTCAGTCTGTTCCTGCAGTCTGTATCGCAATGCTGCTCCGCTCAACCCCTCCCACCTTCCTCCTCCTCCTCCTCTTCCTCCCGTAACTCCAGGAGAGAGAGGGATGAAAGGACGCGGCAGCAGCAAAGGAGGATGAAGGACTGGAACAAGAGGTGAAAATAAGGCGGGAGGATTCCTGATTCTGGCTGCTGTTGTTGCCGGGAAACACAGGAGAAGCTGCAGCCTTCCTCCTCCTCCTCCTCCTCC